CCATAATCTAGGTATATACCCTCTACAGCAAAGAAACGTCTCGTCTGTTTGGCTCTCTTGGGGTCTCTAGCATCCTTTTCGGCTTGTTCAATCAGCAGTTCCTCCAAGTGCTTCATATCGTTATGACGGAAGAACTTCACTATGCTTCGAGACGCTATCAGGCCCTCGTGCACTGCCTGGCTGACGCCCTCGTCGGCGAAAATAATATCGTTGCGTTTGGCGTATGCGGGGATCGCACTGGCAATGGTTGAAAAACCGTAAGAGTAAACGGCCACTTCTTCCACTTTAAGGAATTCCTGCAGAGTTGCCTCAAGATTCAAATGAACATCAAAGGTGCCGTAAAAGCCACGTGGGCCACAAGCGCCAAGACCGTATTTGCGAAGGGCCTGAATAGCAACTGCATTCACGTCTTTGTTTCCAATTAAGTCTAGAAAGTTGAGGGTGGCGACATTTAGGTGGGGCGGACCGGCCTGACCCGTTTTCTCATCCTCGAATTGTACGTACCTACAAACGTGAGAAAAAAGGCCTCAAATATGATGAGTAAGGAGCAGACGAACGTAAAAATTAGGTTTACGATACATGGAGCAGGGTTCACACATCTTAACAAACCGTGATCAGGAAAGGAGACAACGAAATCCCAACACATCTCGTCAAATAGCACAGCGGAGCATAAACAGGGATGAGCTCACCGGTTTTCGGTTTTTACCATGCAAAACTCAAAATCTAAGGTGCTGCAATACGTAATGTTTCACCAAGTATCTTACGTAAAAAATATGCAAAGTTATGCGACACCAGGTTGGTTGAAACATTTTCTGCATATTTAAAGGCACCCTGTATTTTTATACCGGATGAGGTCCTCCGACTGGTTAAAAACCTAAAATTCCTTTGAAACTTGCAAGGCTAGGTGGATTCTGGCTCCTACTGATCAATCACTAGACATTCGAAAAGTAACGTAGTGATTTAGTAACTAACTAACTAACAGGATATAAGCCGATTTACGTTTACGTTGCATGATGACATCTAGGCTTGAAAGGTAACAACAGTTTAACGACAGATTAAACGTCAACAAGTAGCAGAATAAAGCAGTATCTTAGACGCGGATCAAGGTATTAAATGATAATCGTGATAATACCTCAGGATTTTCACGGCCATACCTTTCGTGCACTAATGGAACATCTGCTTTACACAAGCAATGCTTCTGGAGCCGATAAAAGAAAGTGCATTCATATCAGTCGCAACTAATGTCGTCAATGAGAAATCTATAAGTAGGAAAATTCCTGTATCCCACTTAGCGGTGTGGCTGACACTAATGTCCACTTTATCAGGGAGTATTGGGACTGGCGACAGACTACGGTCGCTCATCTTTGCGTAAGAGGCTACGCATTTACCACTTAGAACTGCCGTTCTATGAATAAAGTACTGACGAGACATAGTACTAAGTGGGTAAAATCCCATGAGTTCCTGAGGTTGAAAACTAATAAGTACTCAAAAGAACCACCATAAGAACTTGTGATGCGAATGCAGTCCACATCAGAGACCCCCCAAATTAGGCATAATGTGGATCGAATGCATTCACGATAAAGAATCACCGAGTAAGTAAAGACATTGTCTCTGACCTGAAACCA